TTGTACATACTATTACATACCGCAGAGCGCGCGAGGAGCAGGTGCGGTTTATACCAAGCCAGGCAAGATCGGCGCTCTTGCAGCAGCAAGCTGGATAAGCGTCCACGATAACAGCTGGCAGCCCCAGCCTTGTCTCCTCTTGCTCCTCCAACTGCCACCGTCACCGTCACCGTCACTCTACCTTGGAAGCAGAAGCACGGATCGAAGACAGTCTGTCTGCTGCGTACAGACACAGATGGGATTGTCCGCATGGCGACGCAGATGCAGCAGCGCGGTCATGCGCATCCGCTAATGCACACACACACCACGGACGGCTGCCGGCCCTGCAGCCCTGGAACTGGCGCGCGTCTCCACGTCGGATTTACTCAGTCTGGTCTGGTGGTACTACGACTGCCCTGTGCACCGCGACAAACCTCTACCGCGAAGCCACGGATCGCGCCTTTGGAAGCCGTGCGTTTTCCGGAATGGCCTGGTACCGGAGCATCACGTCCGCCCCTCTTCTCGACTTGCTGTGGGAAAAAAAGGCACGAAAACAATGCCCCTTGCGGAGTAGCGGTTTGCGAACTACTCGGACTATAGCACTGCTAGGCCAGGTACGCAGTACCTGCAAGCGGACACTCCTGCTTACGATGACATGCCGAGTGTGGACGGACCACCAAGTACTTGTACTCGGGGAAACACGTTCCTGGATGTTGGTTGTGGAGTTGGAGATGGAGATGGCTATGGAGATGGCTATGGATGCAAGAACGGGTATGGGCTGCGCTACGCGTCGGCCGGCCGTGGGCACAGCTTAAACGAGGGGTCAAGGTTTGGCGAGAACCTGCTTTTTTCGCCCCGTCGGCTTTGGTGCCTCTGACTTCATAGCCAGGGTCCAGCTCAAGGGTCCAAGCCAGGGTGGCGGTGTTCGCGGGGAAGGCGCCTCAGGGAATCCCGCCCTCTGTGGCCTCGGAGACCTTGCCGATTACTGAGTACTATCAGTGTAGGGCATGACTGGGAAATCGGAAGATTTTGGTCCAGCGCAGGTGCCGGCCTTGGCTTGTGACAGCTGGAGGGCGAGCAAGTCGGCTGCCCCAGGCGCTGTCGTTTGAGGCGAGCGCAGCAACGGCCCGCGATGCAAGGACGGGCTCAGTTGCCGGCCGATGGGGAACTGTGCAAATTCCGATACGGACGGCATCGAGAATTCCAAAAACCAGCATTTCCCCATGCCCGCTATCAACTGAGGCATGGCAAGGCGTCCATGCCCCTCCCGCAGGCCAATGCCATGGTGTGCGACCAGCCCAGGCGGTCAATTAAGGAATTTTTAGGTCGCGGGATGGGCTTCACACCCTTGCGTCAAGGAGGCTTGGCCGCGAAGGTACAAGGCCGGGACGTGAGAAGGGGTGGACCGGCAGCAGCAGAGATGGAAAGTGATCGACGGATACTGGACCGCGAACCAACAACTCGCCCATTGCTGGGCGCTGCTTTCAACGCGCCAGACGCCGTCGTCAAGCATCACCTCTCATAGCACTGCGTCAATGCAGATCCTGCTTGTTGCTGACGCTGTCACAAGCGCCCTCCGGAGCCTAGCGGACGCGGGAGCCGTTGATTCTCTGGACGAGGCAGCGACCGGCACGGATTGCAGAGGACCCGGGCGAATTGGAAGTGGGCTGCACCCCTAGCCCTGCCTTGCGCATGCGTACGAGTACATGTACCCATGGCTTGTGATGGATGCCGGGACCAGGAGGAAGGAAGGAGAAAGACGGAGAATTGAGATTTGCACGGCAGCTCGTCACCAAAATGTGAAGCTATTCGGGAGCCCGTCCCAGAGCGATACTACGCCTTGTCGATCCGAGCCACAATCACGCTATATGGGCAAACTATCCATCGGTGGATGCGAAAGGGGGGCCTTCGTTTCATGTCCCTTCATATGCGCACTCAATTGAGTTGGCTTTCACGGCCAATGCTAGGCCCCAAGCGTGCCGCGCCATGTGTATTTGGATGAGGAGAGAAGGCGAAAACTGGATCAAGGCCACGACCCGGACACCGCTGAAGCTATCTGATACTATACCGCGGGCTTTACGTTTTTTAGACCGACCGAGGCGCCGACCCCGTTTCGGTGAACCCGTGGCTGCCAATTGATGTGGAGAGCTGCTCCAGGCCTGCTTTGCTTCTGCGATTCTGCGATTCTGCCAGTCTGCCAGTCTCTATACAGCGAGTCTTCAGCAGCCGATTGCCCCGAAAATAGTTGGAACACGTAGCCCAGGTTGACGGATGGGTGGTGTGAAGAGGCTGACGACGCTGAACTGGCGGCATCACATTACACAGAAGGCTAGCGCCGACTGAGACGAAGCAGAGCTTCATCTTGACTGATGACAGAGTGATGCTTTTCGTCTGCTCCGTCTACTATGGCTAGCCACGGATCGTGACATAGGTCTGCGGTGGCGAACAAGGGAAAAAGCCACATGCGGTTCCCGGTTTCCGGTTTGTTTTAACCTCGTGCGACTGAGGCGTCTGATTTCGCAAGGGCTGCCCACCCGCCCGCCACACTTCCAGATGTTAGTTCCAGGGTTCAGTTCGCAGCTAGTAGCTGGCCAACCGGCGTCCGACTTTTTGCTTGTCTGTACATACAGAGTCAGCAAGCAACAGGTCTGTACCTATCACTCATTGATGCTATCCATGTGGCGACATCTTTGCTGTCTGCTTGCCCCTGCCGGTTTCTTGCGCGCTCCGTTCTCCATGGCTAGCTCCATCCTTGTCTACACGCCCCCAAGCGCCAATGGTCGGTCCCTCACACGGCGCCTCCTGACAGCTATGCCGTATGATTTACGCCCGTCCTGATCTTCATGCTGGGAGACGAGGTGTATGTATAGGCAACTCCGATTCTAGGTACGGAGTAGCCAAGCTATCTACTCACGTCGACTACCGGCCTAGGTACCAAGGCCATTAGCACGTGTAGGTAGGTCGTCGCTTGTCAAGCCCAACGCCACCTCGTTGAGAATCCATATCCATTGCAAAGAATTCATGCGGATAAGCCACTTAGCTTTCTACATGTTCCCTGCTGACGAAGCCACAGAAGGTTTGCACTGGTAATGTTGGCAGCTCTGTGCCTTGGCCATGTTTAGTCTGACCAGGGGCTATGCAAATCTCCGCTTCCACAGTCGATTCGGTCTAGACATTGGTCGACCACCAGGTCAAGGTAGGGTTGTTCAGGCCAAGTACAAGTACGAGGTACCCCGATACGTCCTGAAAACCCAAGAGCTTCCTGCTCGTGGCTCGTGCTTTTGCTTGTACTTTCAACCTAAGCTACCTACCACTGTGGCGGAAGCCTGTGATACCGCCGGGTCCCCCATAGCGGCGATATCTTCAGCTACATACAAGGCAACTTTCTGGCGTTAAGCCGTTTGAAACAAACAGGGAACCATCTTCGAATCAGGCACCGTGCTATGCGGTTGTCATTTCTCTGGAGAGACGCTTGCTTGGAATACACCCCCCCTGGCCTGACACCCCGACTGGACGAATCAGGCAGGGCAACTGTAGCTCTGGAGCCCGAGTTGCCTCTTTTCTTCTTCGATTCGTCGCCCCTGGTATAGCCGGATCGTCGTTGTCGGTCGGTATATCCAGCTGTACGAGCAGAGATTGGTCGAGATCTTCTCCAGCCCTTGATCTTCATTGGGCTTGCCCGAGGTCGACGACCCATCCACCATCCTCCCCTCGACGGTGACTTGCAAGGCTGCATTTCTAGGCGCCATCGCCTACTTACCGCGAGACCCATCGTTCGCTTGCTGCTCATGAGGTTTCCTGACTGGTGAGTGGTGAATCTGAGAGCCCGGCCGCTGCTCACCGACAGGGTGTAAACAATTTTAGCACTGACTTGTCGTGCAATGATCCGCAGGCGTGAGCAGCAAAGGGTGTGAAGCGAACGATTAGCTCCGTTGCTCCCTTTTCCTTCCAATCCAAAGCTACGACCTACCCGAGCAAGCTGAGCCGCCGCCCAAGGAGACGCAACTCTTGCAACTGGTACGTGAGTTTGACCCGGCTCTCTGGCACGATCTGACATGGCTTGCAGCCAGCGTCGAATCAGTCACCCGCCATCGACCGTTCTGGCTATCAAGTCAGGCTGCTTTCTAGAACGAACCGACAACCGGCCTTCAGAGTTGACTCTTTCAACCTAGCGGCACAGAGCTGCTGCCAGTCATCATCAGATTCTACCACCAAAGTGGGTTCTCCAAGAGGGAACTGCCGGCTCTGGGCTGTCCAACTTGTGCATTATCTCCCCCCCCAAAAAGGACAGAAACCCCTATAGGGTATTGTCACCCCTGCTACAGGCACAATCACTCCTACAGCAGTCGCATAAGGTGCATTATCCGAGTCACTGATTTCCCCAGACCGGGCTGGCCCTTCCTTGTCGCTCCGCCCCGGAGGCAAATCGTTTTCTTCTGCACCCCTGAGGGCATTTAGCTCTGCTTCACGTCACCTGTAAAGTCAGCAGCCCTACTGTCAACGCCGGTGACACTTGGACTCTACCATCCGGAGACGGACTCTAATTGCCACTGCCTCGAGATCCGGGAGCAGTGGTGTAGGTTTCCTCTCTAGTTGACCGCGTCCTTCGGCGGGCTTTTCATTCGTGGCGAACGTTAGGCTCTCTCACTCTCTCTCCCCTCTGGGGGTTATGCAAAGATACAGCTCCTTGCATATGAAAACTTCGGGCCTTATCCGCATTTGAGGCTTCGACGAGATAATCTGAGCTAGACACCAGATTATTCAGCTCAGCTCTTTGGACACACAACTCTCCCCTACCCAACCCCCTTGTAGCCGGCTCACCAAAACAAAAAAATTGCTCGAGCTGGTGGACTCAAATATCCAGCACATCCAGACCAGCCTAGACCCTCGCTCAGCACTCACCCTTTTCAATGGGTGACGATTCAGCTCCCTCCGACGCTGTGATGGGGACCGTCGAGCCCATCGTGCCGGACGGGACAACCAAGGGGCGTGCATTGCCTCAAGGTCAGGACCAGGAGCGAATGACTCCGAGGCTCGACAATTATCGTGGCCCGCTCAACCATCCGGCAGCCTCACCGTATACATCGCCTCCCCAGCCTGGGCCAAACGCGTCTTCGACATTCTTCCACCGCCATGGCCCCTACAACATGGCCTCTCTAGCCAACGCCATGCCCATGGACAGCTACCATCACGGTCAATACCAGAGAGGTGTCCATCAGCCAAGATACGCTGCTAGTCTGTCACCGCCTTTGGCTCCTCATATGCCGCCGATGCCTCAGTACGCCGGGCATTCGCCGATTCCCATGGTGCCTCAGGGCTACTATGTGCCACAAGCCCAGCATATCTCACCCTACTATGGCGGTGGCCACTTGGCTGTCAGTCAGGTCAACGCGGCCATGCTGCAGAGACAAAACGTGGCATATTACCCAAGTCCTGTGGCCATGGGCCACCCGCCCACGCCATATTACTATCCCCAGACGGCTTCGTATCCCGTCCAGATGCCCAGTGTGCCGCCGGTCGTCACTCCGGGCCAACAGCATCCTCGTGCAGAGATTGGCCAACGCGTGGTGACAGGGCCCCCAACCCCTAACCAATCGTCGGATGGTTTGCCACTATCCTATCCATCTGAGAAGAAGTCTGCTCATGGTAAAACTCTTCAAGCCCCTTTCCCTTATCTCTTTCTGGTCAATAGGCACTGAAGACTATGTGTCACAGTCAGCTTGGAGGAGCAGAAAAACTCTGCTCGACACTCGTCGCGTAAGCCTCGACAAACTGGTAGGCATCCTTCCCTCTCCTTGACCTCGCGCCTTGTTCTACGCTTTCCGTGGTCTACCCTTTTGTTCACGTCTCGTCAAATGGATCGGTGGCTAACTGTGTCGTGTTCACAGGAAATGCTGTCTGGATCGGAAATCTGCCACCTCAAACCGACTTGATGACCCTCGTACGCCACGTTTCGAAGGAGACAAATGGACTCGAATCCTTGTTCCTGATCGCCAAGAGCAACTGCGCGTTTGCCAATTTCAAAGACGAGGCGTCTTGCATTGCTGCGCAAGTCAAACTGCACGAATCCAGATTCCAGTCTGTCCGCCTTGTCAGTAGGCTCCGGAAGAATGACCTTGACGGCAGTGCTGGCCCATCTCCGCCAACCGGGCCGGCGTCGGGTCCAGGAAACTCTTCCAGGTCGACCAGTCAAGCCGCAAGCAACTCGGCAGTCAAAGTCGATGGTGTGAGCTCGACCGCTACTGTTGACGGCGCTGAGCACCCGGTAGCTACCGTGCCTGACGCGGCAGCAAAGCACCATGACAGATTCTTCATCCTGAAAAGTCTGACAGTGGACGACCTTGAGCTCAGTGTACGGACTGGAATTTGGGCAACGCAGCCTCACAATGAAGAAACGCTGACTGACGCGTTCAAGGTGAGAGGAGATCGGATCACATCACATTCCCGCTGCCATCTTCATCTGCTGACACGTGAGAATAGCAATGTAGCAATGTGTACTTGATTTTCTCAGCCAACAAATCTGGGGAATACTTTGGCTATGCTCGAATGGCTTCCGAGTTCAGCCCTTCTTTGGATTCGACAATCAAGTTTGCACCGGTGCAACGATCGACGAACGAATCGGATCTCACAAAGGAGATACTCACGGACGCGACTGAATATGTCCCCAAGGGTAGGATCCTTCATGATCCAACCAGGGGCACGATTTTTTGGGAAGTTTTCCAAGACGACTCTGAAAAAGCTGTCGATCACGATGCCAGCGTTGCCGACGGGCCAGACGGCGCCTTGAACGGAGACGAGGAGGAGGAAAGATCGTGGGGAAAGCCCTTTAGGGTTGAATGGCTGTCGACGTCTCGCCTTCCCTTTCATCGAATCCGCGGGTTACGAAACCCTTGGAACTCCAACCGAGAGGTCAAGATTGCGCGAGATGGCACCGAGATTGAACCTTCCGTCGGACAACGACTCATTGGCCTGTTCAACACTTCGCAAGGATCCGGGTCGACGGCGGGCGGGAGGCCGCCGGCCGGTGCGATGCCCAGATACCAACAGATGGGATCGTATGCACATGCACAATAAGCTTGGCTCGCCGGCTGCCTCTTGGTTCTCTACCGTCTCTGTGCTTGTCCTTGCTTGTCCTTCTTTGACACCCCTGGCTTTCTCCCAGGAAAAAGTTATGCCAAGTTTTTGCCCTGTACTTTATATCCACGGTTACTGGAACTATGATTGCACGATGATGGGAGACGAAAGCGATGAATATCAGGTCAACGATGGAGGATAGGCAGCTAGGAACATGATGTGTGGTTATTCGTTGTCTTGGGCATGCTACGATGCCGTCTAATATGCTATATGTGTGGTCAATTTCATATGTATTACTATCAAAGCGCGGCCCAGCGTTTGGGTCTGTCAGGTATCCAGTATTGTGATGTATATCTATGACAAAAAGAGCTGGTTCTCTACGGTAAGAACATGGACATTTGCTACAAAGGCCGCTGAATCAGCTCTCTGCCCTTGCTACTTCAGCAGCAGGAAGGCATACAGAGCCCTGTGAAGCCCAATCTTTGATTTACAAACTCGGACGTGCTGGACGGACGTTTGGTCCACGGCAGCCAACCGATAACTTTTTGCCACCAAACAAGCCAAAAACCCAACGTCCCTGAAGCCGCAAAAGCTTGATTCATCGTAGAGGACGTATTAGCCGTGGCCGGCAAGCCCGATGGCGTGACGGGAGTTACTAGACACACGCTGTGTCTCTCGTGAAATTCAAAGAAACATGTTTCGACAGCTTCATCGTCATATCCAAAAAAAGAAAAAAACACCCATTCTCGGAAAATGCCCATTCATTCGTTCCAATTCCTTGTTTGGTTATAAACTGGAGTTGGGCGCCCCCTTAACCTTACAGGTTAAAAGGGTCCCCCCCCCATTGCCGTGGCTTGTGTTGGGGGGGTGGGATGTGGCTTGGGTTCTGAATGATGGAGTGGCGTTTTGCGCCACATGTCAAGTTCTCGGATGAATGGGCGGGCTTGCCGTTTTTTTTTTTTTTCCTTTCTCTCCCTTCCTTTTTTTCTTTTGCGTTTCCCTGTTTGTTTGTTTCCAAGGAAAAAGACAAGGCAGGCAGCTGGAGGACCCTTGGGGGGGAGGAGGGGAGCCACAATGGGGCTTGACGGGGTGGGCTTCTTTTTTTTTTTGTTGTGTTGACGAGGTACATGTTGGAGGTACCGCCGCTTGATGTCATAGGTCGCGGGATGACGTCTGATGGTTTGTGCAGCTGAACACCCGCGACGGGTTGAACTTTGTGATTGTTGCTTTTTATATCACCTATAACATCATATCGCAAGTACATAGTATATCAGGAAAAATTATGAGTTATTACAGTGTTATTTTGAGTTTCTTTTCATGTTTTTTATTTTCCAGTAATTGATTGTGAGAAGCAGGTTGTTGCTGAATAAAAGTTCTCCCCTGCGTGAGGTACCTGACCTCTAGTACCTCTAGTAAGGTACTGAGAAAGCGATGCGGTGGAACCTTCTAGTGCCTGCCAGAACAACCGCGCAGACGCTGCAAATCCGCAACTGATTCAGCTTCACCACTTGTCAGCTGCATTATGGAATGTAGATTCAGTACCAGATAGCAACAGATGGTAGATGCTGGTAGATTCGTCTGTAATCTAGAATGTCGGTGTTCGTCAGCCTTCTCCTGCCTGGATGCTGGCCGATGAATCGCAGTGTTTGACAGCTATAAAGTGCGGTGGTCAGGACGAGGAGCAGTGAATTTGGCTTTCCTCATCAGAGCATCAACTCAGAGACAACAACAACAAGCAAACACTTTCAGCCGACAACACCACAACTCTTTCCACCAACGCACTCTCCACTACTCCTCTACCACTCTTCAACAACAACAAACACACACACACACAAATCCGCAACAATGGCATTCTTCCACCCTCACACCTTCTACCACCCCACCGAGTCCTCCTCCTCCTCCGCCTCCTTCACGCCTCTCTTCCGCCTCCTTGACGACTACGACAACTACAGCCGCCAGACTGGCAAGTCTTCATCATCGTCAACAACAGCCGCTGCGCCCCGCCGCCAGCAGCAGCAGCAGCAGCACCAGCAGCAGGTGCCCCAGTGGCAGCCCAAGTTCGACGTCCGCGAGGTCGACTCCGCCTACGAGCTGCACGGCGAGCTTCCCGGCGTCGCCAAGGAGGCCGTCGTCATTGAGTTCTCGGATCCCCAGACGCTGCTCATCCGCGGCCGGTCGGAGCGCACCTACACGGCCGGCACATCACCTACTGAGAGCAACAACAACAACAAGAAGAGCGTGACAGAGGAGGCTTCTTCGTCTTCCTCGCGGAGGAACTCGTACAAGGCTACCGTGGAGGACGAGGACGAGGCCAGCGAGCGCGAGTCGGGCTACGAAGTCGTCACCACCACGACGGAGAAGAACAACAAGAACAAGGAGGAGAACAAGAAGCCCGTCGACAAGGCCAAGTACTGGCTCACCGAGCGCAGCATCGGCGAGTTCTCGCGCAGCTTCCACTTCCCCACGCTGGTGGACCACGAGGCCGTCAGCGCGAGCTTCAACAACGGCATCCTGAGCATTGTTGTACCCAAGGCGAAGAAGCTTGAGGCTCGTCGCATTCAGATCAACTAAGAAAGGAAGCAAAGGATCGATGGATCTGCATTTTCATAAACGACCAATGGAAGGATATGCGCACTTCTTGATTTGGCAGGATGGAAATGGTACGGACATACTCGGGATTAGCATATGATACCATGCTTGTCTTTTTTCTTTGCTCTTCTGGGATTTGCAATAGGGAGTTGGAGGATATATATAGGACTTGGGATCAATAGAAGATCATTTAATTCAAACAAATGGATAATTATCTGACTGGATCTCTACTACTAGTGCTTCTTCGGATGCTTGAGCTCTTTACTGCGAGCCTAGGGGTATGTAGCTCTCCTCGTGAGCTTGGCAGTTCAAGCATCACACACACTGGTAGTAATCTGTGACGGCCGAGTCAGTCAAGGGGGATCTGCTGCTAATGGAGATGGTGGCAACTCACAATCATTCTGCTTCTGGCAGACATACGGCGCCACACACTGCGTCGGCCCCGTCCACCCAATCCCTCCGCACTGAGCATAATGACCGGCGACCCCTGACCCCGTGGGACCGGCGGCCGAGCTGGTCCTCGACGAAGTCACCGTCGAAGCCCGGGTCGTGGATACAACGCTCGACCTCAGCGTGGTGCTCGAGCTGGCGGAAGAGGTACTGCTGCTGCTCTGCTTGGTCGACGAGGAAGTCCCGCCCGTGCCGCCGCCGACGGTTCCCTGAGCGTAAAAGACGCCCCGGCCGTTGGTGCCCACGTAGACTTGCCCGGCGGTGCTGCCGCTGCCGGCGACCTTGGTGCTGTCGATGGAGCCGAAGCCCTGGGAGCCCTGGATGTCCGTCCAGGAGGCGCCGCTGTCTCCACTGGCGTAGAGGCGAGCCCCTGACGGGCCGGTGCCGAAGGCATACAGGTTCCAGTTCGAGCCTGAGCCCACACCCAGGGCGATCTGGTAGGTGTTGGTCAGGGCGGTGGAGACTTGGCCAAAGGTCGTGCCCGAGTCTGTGGAGCGGAATATGCCGACGTCGGTCGAGACATACAACGTGCCCGCGGTGGTCGGGTGAGCAGCGATATCCCGGATCGTCCCTGCGCTGCCCAGCTTGGGCCCGCGCGTGAAGCTGCTGCCGGTGTCCTTGCTGACGTAAAAGGTCGATCCGGAGCCGGCGTAGAAGACGCTGTTGGTCTTCTTGTCCGAGGCGATGACGGCGCCCGCGGGCAGGCTCGAGACGGAGGCAAAGCTGCCCTGGAACTGCGAGCGCTGCACGCCGGACGAGGCGGTCGACCAGAGGATCGTGTCGCCGTCGGCCGAATAGGCCACCGTGCCGCCGTTCATGGACGTGTCGGCCGCGTAGTCGATGCTCCACGTCGCGCCGCCGTCGGACGAGATGGCCACCTGTTGCGTGCCGGCGGTGTTGCCGACGCGGACGACGCTCTTGACCGAGTTCCCGGCGTAGTCGACGCTCGTCGAGGTGGCCCATGTGGGCGTTGCCCAGACCGTCTGCGGCGATGTCCCGAGGTCGTTTCTGCTGGCAAAGGTGAAGCCGTTGTCGTCTCCGACTGCGGCCAATAGCTCGCTTCCGCCGGGTGCAGAGGCCAGGTCCTGGACGGAGAATTCCTCGATGCCGTCTGCCAGTGATTGGATTGACACATTGTGGCGCGTGTCCCAGTTGGTGAGATCGTGGCCGCCAAAGATTGTCATTCCGGTGCCGTAGAGCCAGTGGTTGCTGTCGGTTGGGTCAATCTCGAGAGACTCAATCATCCAGCCGAGGCGCTTGATGAGACCATCGGACGGTGACTCGCTCGTCACATCGATAAAGTTGTTCTTGATCCACGGTGCTTTGGGAGTCTTGAAGCAGAGTCAGTGCCATTCGCATCGGATCGTTAAGAGTGACTCACTGAGATGCTGTAGTAATAGGTCTCAGTCGGATAGCTCGCCCACGCCCAGATCGGGCTCCATGTTGTCCCAGAGTCGGTCGACCGAAACAGCTGAGCATCTGGCCACCAAGAGTTCAAAGAAGCAACAACAAGGGTTCCTGGCTTTTGCAAATCGAGGCCAAGGCCGCCAAAGCCAAAGTATAGATCTGATCCAGAGACAGGGGTGATGTCTTTCCAAGTTCCCCCTGCAATGTCGTACCTCCACACTGAGCCAAGTGTGCCATCATACGGCCCTGTGCCATCGGAATAGGTCAGATACAAGGCCTTCTCTGCTGGCTGCAGTTTCGCCTTGTGAGGAAAGTATTTCCCTGGCTGCCCCGGTACAGCACTCCACGTGGAGCCGGCATTCGTGCTCACATAGACTGAAGCAGTGATGTTATCAGCCGTGCCAACAAAGATACGAGACGTGGCTCCCCCGGTCGTGCTGCTGGTTGAGTCGAACGTAACCCACATGAGTCCTTGCTTGTCGCTGTTGTAGCCGTTGGAATCACTCGGGTCTGGGATGTACGTCCCAGTTGCCGTGAACGACGAGACCTTGGAAAAGGTCACGCCGCCGTCCGTAGACTTCCAGAGGCCGTTTCCTGAGCGAGCACCAAAGTAGATGATGTTGGAGTTGGCCGGATCGACAGCCAGACGCTCTCCGGCTCCGCGTCCTGGCATGTTACCCCCGACTTTGAAGGGCAAGTTGGTGAAGGACCACGTTGCGCCGCGGTCTGACGAGCGAATGATGGCTCCATTACTCGGATCCCTATATATGGCCAATGTCAGCGTCCAATCATAGGTCTAGATCTGAGAGACATCACAGACCAGCTGTTCGTATACATGCCGACTGCGGCATACACCTTTTGATCGTCCTGCGGATCAAGCGCAACAGCGTCGATGCCCCAGTTGTGCCAGCCGGCATTATCAGCAATCCCATCCGTGACGGCGGTCCATGAGTCGTCGGCGTTGAGGCGGTACAGCCCGCCAATATCTGTTCGTGCATATGCTACGCCTTTTGTCTTGGGATGGAAGATGATGCCGGGGACGAAGCCGCCGCCGCCGCCGAGCTTGACGTTCTTCCATGAAAAGGCAGCATGGGCAGGGATGACGGCCCCCAGGACAAGGGCAAGGACTCGAGAGACCTTCATGACGAAGCAGTGAGGAGGAGGACACTGCTAGAGTCTGTCTCGGAGCCTACTCCTAATTTTCATGTTGGGGAAGCCTGTGCTTTATATGCTTTTTCATCAGTCCGTGAGTCCGTCAAGATCATGAGTACACCATATCGTTGCTGGGTTTCGCAACGAAGAGCGAGTATTGCCTAAATTACCACCTTGGAAATGCAGGGCCATCCATGTAGTTGTTCTGCATAACCTTATAGGCTGCTTCTCAGCATTTCGCTAAGTCAAACTAGATGTAACGGTAGACCCAAGATTCCAAGTGATTTTAATATCTGGATAAATGAAGGAAGTCCGGAATGTGGAACTTTGGTGTAGCTGTTCCATGCGCGCCACTCACATCAAGTAATGCAAGTGTTTTAGCCTGTTACTACAATGATTTCTATGAGATTCCTGAAACCACTTACAAAAGCACGCCAGAGCTCGGACTCAATTGAGTGTATCAAATAACCGACGGGAGCTTGGCGATTCTTGGTCAAAGCATCAACTCATTGGACTTGTTCTTTCATTGATACCCAGGTAGAGTCAGCTTCACATTGGCCAACTAAGGTAATCCGAGGTTCGTCTGGCCATGCTCGTTGAAAGACTCTCTCTTAAGATGATCTTGCTCTTATAGAACATAGCATACAGGAGATTCAACTGCAATTATTTCTTATTTTTAGGCGCAATTTCTTCTCAATGAGAGCAAAGTGAAGTCAAATGACTGTGCAATAGTCTGGTTGATGCCTGTTGAACTCTCCACAGCCTTCAATTAGCAAGCAGGACACATCACGTGATCTGGCGTCAGCATATTCCCCTGCTAAGCCCGACTCGACGCGTCGACCCGCGCCTTGATTGTCAACATCCTCGCCTCTTTCGCCTCATTTCTGCCTAACGGTGGCTGTCGAGTCCTTTAAAAACCCTGCAAAGCGTATCTCTGTGCTTCTTTCTCCCATTGTGTGACCAGTACGATTGTTTCAGGCGGTCAAAATGAGCGACGAGTATGACGAGGAGAACCAGGTGGCCGAGGAGGGCGGCATGACTGGCCCTGGAGCGCCGACGCCGCTCTCTGCTCTGGAGGTATGATTGATGCTGCCGATTGAGTCATTGGAGAGGTTGCGCTGATGATGTTTGATGCGCCGCTCAGGGAGTTGCTGGATTGACAAAGCGCGACATCCAACTCGTCGTTGATGGCGGATTCAACACGGTCGAGTCGGTGGCTTACACCCCGCGCAGGGTGCTGGAGCAGATCAAGGGCATCTCAGAGCAGAAGGCGACCAAGATCTTGGCCGAGGGTATGTTGGCTGCGCTCACTACTTTGCAATCGAATGTCTAACGTAGCCAAGCGTCAAAACTTGTGCCCATGGGGTTCACGACAGCCACTGAAATGCACCAGCGGCGAAGTGAGCTCATCTCCATTACCACTGGATCCAAGAACCTAGACACACTCCTGGCTGGAGGCATTGAAACGGGCTCCGTTACGGAGCTGTTTGGAGAGTTCAGGACAGGAAAGAGTCAGATCTGCCACACGCTGGCTGTGACGTGCCAGCTGCCTTTCGACATGGGCGGTGGTGAAGGCAAATGCCTGTACATTGACACCGAGGGTACCTTTCGACCCGTCCGACTGCTGGCCGTTGCCAATCGATTTGGGCTGTCTGGTGAAGAAGTCCTCGACAATGTCGCGTATGCGAGAGCGTACAACTCAGACCACCAGCTTCAGCTGCTGAACCAGGCAGCGGCCATGATGTGCGAGACAAGGTTTTCCCTGCTCATCGTCGACAGCGCTACTTCACTCTACCGAACGGACTTTACCGGCCGAGGTGAACTCTCGAATCGTCAGACACATTTGGCCAAGTTTATGAGGACACTGCAGCGGCTCGCAGACGAGTTCGGCATTGCCGTCGTCATCACCAACCAGGTTGTCGCGCAGGTCGATGGCGGACCGAGTGCCATGTTCAACCCTGATCCGAAGAAGC